TAGCTAATTTTTTGATTTATTGTAAAGATGAGGTCTCGCCAAGTTGCCCAGGCGGGTCTTGAACCCGCGGGCTCAGGCAATTCACTCACCTCAGCCTCCCAAGGCGTGGGATTACAGGCTGAGCCACTGAGCCCGCCTGACATGGGCTACTTTTACTGTCTCCCACCACAGCCCATAAAGCTATATCCTAGTTCCCTTTGCAACCCCTCCCAAAATTCCCTTCAGGCTTGAACTGGTACTTTATGTCCCAGAGTCAGTGACTGATGCACACAGAAAGCTGATGAGGGGATGGAAAAGTGGGTTCAGCTCTCCATGTAGTAATTTATTAGTGTGCAAACTGAGTAAAATCTTACAAACAAGGAATTTGAGCCCAGGTTCCCATTTTTCAAATGAGGTAACAAGTATCCACTTCACAGGGCTGTGATGAAGACTGAGATAAAATGTAATAATGGTATTAGCTCCATTTTCTCTGTTCTTCCCTCACTCCTCACCAAATACAGCAGTACTAACTTATGATTGCTTCATGCTCTTTGCCTCCAAGAGGATTTCAATCTCTAAACAGTGTGAGAACCAGGAAGAGTATCACCTGTGGATTAAATGTGTTAAATAGGAGTGGCAGGCAGAATTAGAAAGATGTCCTCCCTGCATCTGCAATTGCTGTCTCTTGGTTACTCAATCCAGTACTAATCTAGGTACTGCTGAGAAGGGACTTGGCAGCTGTAATTAAGGTTATGGACCTTAAAATGGGGAAGTCACCCTGGATTACTCAGTAGATGCGATCTAATCATTTGAGCCCTTAAAACCAGAGAAATATCTCTGACAGGCATTAGAAAGATGTAGCAGTCAGAGAGACTGCTACAGTGTGAGAAAAATGAGAAAAACTTGACCAACTGCTGCTGCTTTGAAGATGTAGGGGGGCTAGGAGCCTAGAAATGTAGGCAGCCTCTAGAAACTGAGAATGATCCTCAACCAACAGCTAGCTAGGAAACAGGGACCTCAGTCCTATAGCTGCAAGGAGCAATTCAGCCAACATGAATGAGCTTGGAAGCAGATTCATCCTGAAGCCTCTAGAAAGGAACACAACCCTGCCAACACCTTGATTCTGGCCTCATGAATCCTGAAACAAAAGAACCAGTTGATCACTTTAGACTTCTGACCTACAGAACTGTAAAATAATAAACGGATGTTGTTGTAAGTCACTACACTGGTGACAATTTGTTATGGCAGCAATAGGAAATATAAGGTATTTAAGCCTCCTCTGCAACCTAGGAGGAAGACACTGTTATTACCTCTTTTATCTTTTATAGGTTAAAAAAAAATAGATAGAGGGTAAAAAGAGGCCGGGCTCGGTGGCTCAGCCTGGGAGGCCAAGACGAGTGGATTGCCTGAGCCGACGGGTTTAAGATCAGTCCAGGCAAAACTTGACGACACCTCGTCTTTACAATTAAAAAAAAAAATTAGCCAGGCATTGTAGCACATGCCTATAGTTCCAGCTACTTGGAAGGCTGAGGTGGAAGCATTGCTGGAGCCCAGCAGGTCAATGCTGGAGTGGCCGTGCGTGTGCCACTGCACTCTAGCCTGGGTGACAGAATGAGACTCCAACTCAGAAAAAAAAAAAGCTATCAAAAGAAGAGGAGGCTGAAGCTCAGTGAAAAGGCTCTGAGAAAGTCTGTGGTGTAAGTCTATCAAGTTTATTTGCAATGTTAACAGCACATTTACAAAATATATTTTGTACAATCAAGTCCGCACCACCTTCACACACTGGGGTACTAGGAAAGACCTAGTCTTTCCAACAGCTATAAACAGTTCAGGATATAATGAGTTTATGAAAAACACTTTCTCTTCTTTCAGCAAGCAAAATTATTTATGAAGCTGTATGGTTCAGCAACAGGGAGCAAAGGGAAAAAAATTACCTCAAAGAAAGCAACAGCTCCTTTCCTGGTGGGATCTGTCATTTTATAGACATGAAATATTCATATTACGACTCATATTTTAAGAGGAATGGGTTACATACCAGAGCTACACCAATAAACATTTTATTTATTACTAACAGGGAATTAGAAGACTGTCTTTGGACACTGGTTCTTGAAAATATTCTGCTGTTTCAGAGCACATTCTTTAGAAATCCAGTGACTACAACCCAGACTTTTCGAGGTGATCTCTAAGTAAACCTCGAGTTTCATGTCTGTATCTACTACCTGTCTCTGAATTTCCTCCCCCAGTGCTCCACTCCAACTTGAGAGTCGCCTAAGAACTGTTATGATTTTAAGTCACACAACAGATCCCAAGCTCTCTCCTTCCAAAGGGTCTGACTTTTGACTTTTGTGAGCACAGAGTTTTAGAGAAACAAACTTAGGGGAGCCAGCTATTCTCTTGAGGCCAAGCCACTCTGTTCCTCTAGCCCTAAGTCAACAGCTCAAGTAGGAAGAATAGGGCTGATAAATAATGAATCAGCATCTTGCTCAATTGGTGGGGTTTAATGGTTTTAAAATCTTCTCAGGTGAAAAATTACCATGATTTTGTGCTCATGGCAGATTTCAAAGGCAGACTTGAAGCAGAAAATCTTTAAGGGACACTTGCACAGCCAGAAGTCCTTTTCAGGTTGATGTACATAAAATACTTAGTAAGCAGGACTTGGGAAGGACTGGAGAGTAAGAGGAGGATCTCCCTGGACCTGAAAAGGCCATTTTATACACTCAGTCTCAGGGTCTGGTGCTCTATGCCTGTGGCTCGCTGACATCAGTAGCGGCTGTGGGGATCTGGGGTATCAGGTAGGTGTCCAGCTTCTGGCACCGGCAGAGTGCTACACTGTCCAACACCCACTCTCGGGTCACCACAGGTGCCTCACACACATGCCCAATTGCTGGGGACAGAAAACACAAGCAGAGATTAGTGTCAGTTCACATTCTCCCAGACCAGACTCTACTTAATCTACTCCAGGGACCCAGCTAAATGAGTTCTTAGGGTTAACCAGGTGGAAGCCAAAGTGCTCTGATGCAATGCTTCAGGCCACAGGGCCTTGCTGAGACACCTGAGGAGCAGCTGCTGGTGAAAGCCCACAGCCTCTGGCAACTGTATTAGCATGAGCTTCAATCTTTTGAAGGAAAAGCCATCAGAGACAGCAAAATAGCCCCAATTTAATGAGTGGAAAAATGTTTGCAATATCTTTTTTTTTTGAGTTGGAGTCTCACTCTGTCACCCAGACTGGAGTGTAGTGGCCATTCCCGGCCACCACAGCCTCGACCTGCTGGGCTCCGGCGATCCTTCCGCCTCAGCCTTCCGAGTAGCTGGAACTACAGGCTCGCGCTACCACGCCCGGCTGATTTTTTGATTTATTGTAGAGATTAGGTCTGGCCAAGTTGCCCAGGTGGGTCTCCAACCCGCCGACTCAGGCAATCCACTTACCTCAGCCTCCCAAAGGCGTGGGATTACAGGCTGAGCCACCGAGCCCGGCTTGTTTGCAATATCTTAAGCAAAACAGTATGATGAGTATGATCACATTTGTGTAAAATATACATGTGAGCCGGGATTGGTGGCTCAGCCTGTAATCCCAACGCTTTGGGAAGCTGAGCTGAGTGGATTGCCTGAGCCCGTGGGTTTGAGACCCATCTGGGCAACTTGGTGAGACCTAATCTCTACAATACATAAAAAATCAGCCAGGCATGGTAGTGCACACCTGTAGTTCCAGCTACTTGGAAACAAAAAATCAACAAAAAAACACATGTATACATATATGCATATATGCCTGGAAGAATTTCATGGTAATCATCTCCAAGTGGTGGGATTACTCGAATTATTTTATTATTTTTGAGCTGATTTATATTTTCTTTTATGAGCATTCATATTTAAACCCTACCACCCCTTGGATATTCATGTATTACTTTTATAATATGAAACAAACAACAACAAAAACATTTTAAAGACATTTTAGTCATCGATCCACCCATTCATTCAAAAAATAATTAAAATGTGCCAAGAACTGTACCACTCAAGTACCAGGTAATGAGTGTTGAACCAAACACATCTGACGGGACCCCATATGACACAGGTGCATGCAAGCATCTTACCATGGTAGCCATTGTCCTCTGTCCAGGCATCTGGCTGCACGACCACAATTGGGCGAGTCTCCTGCATCTCCAGGAAGGAAAGAAAGAACATAGAGACTGTCAGAGAAGGACTACTGGAACAGTCATGTCACCTTTTCTTGATGACTTGCTGAAGCAGACTACTCTAGGGGCAGCCACAAAAAGAGAGGGAACGGCATATAGCATAAAGTGTGGGAGGGAAAGAGCCTTCACTTAGAATACTTAATATCTGCAATTCCCAAGTCCTTAGTCATCCCTTACAGATGGAGTCTTCTGGTACAGGTATGTGGTGAGAGCAGGCTCCTGAGGCTACATTTTGGGGCAGGGGGTGTCCATGGAGACCGATGGGTGCCAGCCTTGCCTCCCTCTCTGATGCCAAACACTTACTGTGCCAAGGGTGAATGATGAGAGCTCCTTCACCACAGAAGCCCCACACAGTCGCACCATCCATTCCAGTTGATCTAAACAGAACATTTAGACCTCAAATCACCACAGTAAGCTGCACACTTAACCTGGGCCCTCTACCCCATATTCCTCTGGATGAAAGCTATAAGCAAGACTTATTGGTAGGACTATCTCTGGCTCTGTTGGGCTCTGGCGATCCTTCCGCCTCAGTCTTCCAAGTAGCTGGAATTACAGGCATGCGCTACCACGCCCGGCTGATTTTTTGATTTATTGTAGAGATGAGGTCTCACTGCCCAGGCGGGTCTCGAACCCTTGGGCTCATGCAATTCACTCACCTCAGCCTCCCAAAGGCGCGGGATTACAGGCTGAGCCACCGAGCCCGGCTGGGATATGGATTCTAAGTCAATTTGCCACTGATATGCTACCTACTCTGGTTATTGGTCTCCATAAGGCCATTTGGTAGATTAAGTTTGATAGTCTCTCAAATAAAACACTTTGAACAAAAGAAAAAATTCTAAACTCTAATTTGCATGAATTTGCTAAATTGCTGGCTAACAGATTGTGTGAAAAAACACCCACCTTCTTTCCTTCCCTTCCTCCCTGCATACTAATTCTGTGTTAGTAATTGATAATCATGGTCACCATGATTACTTGGTAGTAATTACTGTAAATGTGAAGAAACGTGGAGATAACTCATCTAGTCAAAAAATACACATCATCCTGGTCAGAGACTCAGCACATCAGTAGGGAAAGGCTACATGTGGAGCTGGAACCAACATACTTAGGGGACTAGAAACCAGGAGAGATTATAGCAATGCTCCACCAGCAAATGATCAATCAGAACTGACCAATGGGTATCCCTTGGACCCCTTTGCATGTCCTCTTCAAGGTATCCATGTTTGTTGCTCTTTCTTTCTCATCAGCCTATTATTTCTGGGAAGTGCTGGGGTGTTTCTGCCTGTCTGACTCTGACTGAACTGAGGTTGACTAATGTACCTCCCCATTATACCTGCTAGAGATCCTGGTATTTACTATAATAAAGTACAAAAACACTGAGCAATCCTTGAGTGGCACTTGGAAATTTCATGAGAATCGAATGAATAACCAATAAAGAAGACAGACTCTCTTATATTGCCAGGCTCTCTTGCTGCCACTCATCTGCCTGTGACTAGATGCTCAGGCCTTCCTCTGAGTCCCTGGGGCAGAAGTGGGCACAGGAGGCAAAAGTGGGTAGCCTTTGCTCTGAGAAGGATGAACCAAAGCTCTACATAAACACCAGGAGCTTTGTGCTGCATGACTCCAGAGGTGAGCCCCACAGCAGTTCTAAACAAACAAAACATTACACTCAGTGTCAAGTTTAATTAGAAAATGTTCATCAAGAATCTTCTCCTGCTCTGGGCCTGTGTGGGCCCCCAGACTCACAGGGCTTAAGCAGCTGCTGTGCTTTCTTCTTTGTAGCAAATGAAGATGGTTTAGAAAGAGGAGAACTCTTTCCTGATTTTTATAAACCCAACGTATCTTCTCCCTAATATGTTGGCACTGACAGCAGCCTTACCCCTTGTGAACATAGAACATACTCTGTCTTAGATCCTAACTCTTCACTGCCTTCATGCTCTTGAGAAGGAGCACAAGGTCTAGCTTTTTGCTATAGGATAACATTTAGGTGCCATTTTGTCTGAAGAGTAGTAGAGAAAGAGAATAACCTCTAGACTATCCCACTAATCTGAGGAACCCCCATAAGGTGATCTCACTTAACAACACTCCACTACTTAAGAGAAAGGCTGGTGCTGGAACGCTGCAGTTCTTCCGGGCTCTTACCTATGGGCATGTTGGTAAAGGGTCCATAGCAACAGATTTCTAGACCCCTGAAGATCTGGAAGACAGAGGGACAGGTGGATGGAGAAAAAGAAACATTAGTTATAAAAAAAAAAAAGAGGGCTGGGCTAGGTGGCTCAACCTGTAATCCCAGCACTTTGGGAGGCTGAGGTGAGTGGCCTGTCTGAGCCCATAGGTTCCAGACCAGCCCAGGGAACTTGGCGAGACCTCATCTTTACAATATATCAAAAATTAGTTGGGTGTGGTAGTGCACACCTATAGTTCCGGCTACTTGGAAGGCTGAGGTGGAAGGATCACTGGAGGCCAACAGGTCGATGCTGGGGTAGCTGTGAGCGTGCCACTGCCCTCCAGCCTGGGCAACAGAGTGAGACTCTGACTCAAAAAAAAAAAAAAGACAGACTCTCAAAAAGGAAGGGCTTTTCTTTTATTTTCCTTTACCACCTGACAATGTCTGTTGCTACTTGCCAGAGATAACCAGTCTAATGTACAAAACACTGATGGATTTCAGATGTTTTTGAAGTGTGTATATAGTTGATCTACACTCCACAGGCATTGTCATTCAAGGACTGAGCATCCCACCTTGTCACCAATCAGGCCCAGACTCCTCCCTAGTGACCTCTGCAGGTGATTTTACCTCTTGTTAGAAGAGAGGGGAAAAAAGAGTTCTCCTTTATGTTTTGTTTTTTTGAGTTGGAGTTTCACTCTGTCACCCAGACTGGAGTGCAGTGGCTGCTCCCGGCCACCGCAGCCTCGACCTGCTGGGCTCCGGCGATTCTTCCGCCTCAGCCTTCCAAGTAGCTGGAATTACAGGCGCGTGCTGCCATGCCTGGCTAATTTCCTTTATGTTTAATAAAAGGCCTGGGTGGCAAGGAATTCAAAGCTATTGGCTGAAGTTTGATGTTTAGCCAGACTTGGTACATCAATACTAACCAAGATCCCATCAGCAAAGAGGTCTGTGTTGATTTTTATCTTTTTTTCTTTTTTTTTGAGTTGAAGTCTCACTCTGTCGTCTCTGCCACCCATGTTGGGATTACAGGTTTGAGCCACTGCACCCGGCCTGATTTTATATGTATATGATCCTTCACTCCTCTGATTTTTCTCCTGGTCTCCAAACATCTGTTCCTGCCCCAAACTACTCTGAGAATGGTCACAGCCTCTTCAGACAACACAGGCAGTTTTTAACTTAGAAGTGAAGCTGGGTTCTGCCTCTTCTCATTGTGCTAGTCTGACTGCCTAGTCTCCTGAAGACATAGGAATCTCCTCTTCTACTCATAGTGTTCAGCTGTCCTGTTCAAAAGAACTTTCTATAATACTGGAAATGTTCTTTTTTTTTTTTTTTGTTGAGTTGGAGTCTCACTCAGTCGCCCAGAATGGAGTGCAGTGGCATGCTCCCAGCAGCCACGGCAGCCTCGACCTGCTGGGCTCCGGTGATCCTTCCACCTTAGCCTTCCAAGTAGCTGGAACTACAGGCGCGCGCTACCACGCCTAGCTAATTTTTTTGATTTATTGTAGAGATGAGGTCTTGCCAAGTTGCCCAGGCAGGTCTCAAACCCGCGGGCTTAGGCAATTCACTCACCTCGGCCTCCCAAAGCATGGGATTACAGGCTGAGCCACTGAGCCTGGCCTGGAAATGTTCTTTATCTGTGCAAATAAGGTAGCCATGAATCACACATGGTTGCTGAGCACTTGAAATGTGGGTAGAATGAACGAAGAACTAAGCTTTCTAATGTTTTTTTTTTTGAGTTGGAGTCTCACTCTGTCGCCCAGACTGGAGTGCAGTGGCTGCTCCCGGCCACCGCAGCCTTGACCTGCTGGGCTCCGGTGATCCTTCCCCCTCAGCCTTCCAAGTAGCCGGAATTACAGGCGCACGCTACCATGCCCAGCTAATTTTTTTGATTTATTGTAGAGATGAGGTCTCGCTGCTCAGGCGGGTCTTGAACCCGCGGACTCAGGCAATCCACTCACCTCAGCCTCCGAAAGATGTGGGATTACAGTCTGAGCCACCGAGCCCGGCTCTAATTTTTTTTTTGAGTCAGAGTCTTACTCTGTTGTCCAGGCTGGAGAGCAGTGGCACACTCACAGCCACCGCAGACTCAACCTGCTGGGCTCAGGCAACCTTCCACCTCAGCCTTTCAAGTAGCTGGAACTACAGGTGCACGCCACCATGTCTGGCTAATTTCTTGATTTATTGTAGAGACGAGGTTTCACCAATTTGCCCAGACTGATCTTGAACCCCTGAGCTCAGGCAATCCTCTTGCCTCGGACTCCCAAAGTGCTGGGATTACAGGCTTGAGCCACCGCGCCTGACCTGTTTTAATTTTTTAAATTTAAACAGTCCTGGCTGTGTGCAGTGGCTCACACCTATAATCCCAATACTTTGGGAGGCCAAAGCAGGAGGATCATTTGAGCCCAGGAGTTTGAGACTAGCCTGGGCAACACAGTGAAACCGCCACCTCTATTTAAAAAAAGAAAAAATTCCATGTGACTGGTGACAACTGTGCTAGACAGTGCAAATTCTCATAAACACATTGGCACAGGCTCTTAGGAAAGAACCTGGGTATCATTTAAAAGAAACCTAACTGGCCGGGCTTGGTGGCTCAGCCCATAATCCTGCGGTCTGGGAGGTCAAGGTGAGTGAACTGCCTCAGCTCGCGGGTTCGAGACCCACCTGGGCAACTTGGAGAGACCTCACCTCTACAATAAATCTAAAAAAAAAATTAGCTGGGTGTGGTAGCACGCGCCTGTAGTTCCAGCTACTCGGAAGGCTGAGGCAGAAGGATCGCCGGAACCCTGCAGATCGAGGCTGTGGTGGCTGGGAGTGGCCACTGCACACCAGTCTGAGCGACAGAGTGAGACTCCAACTCAAAAAAAAAGAAACCTAACTTTGCATCACCTGGGTGGATAACTTGGATGGATATATTTTGGGCAATTTTCCTTTTTTTTTTGAGTTGGAGTCTCACTGTTGCCCAGGCTGGAGTACAGTGGCATGCTCATGGCTCTCCCTACACGCACACACTCCCTTTCTCTAACTACAGTCAGAGGGAAAAGAAAGGACAGCAGGACAAGTTTGTCTGTGCCACTCTCACTACCTATATGGATAAATTACACCCCCAACCTGTTGACAGGACCTAGATGCTCATAATGCCAAAGGTTCTTTCCAGGTAGCCAGTTGGAGTCAAATGCTGCCATGAAAAGTACAAAAGATTAGAAATTTTTACATCCAGGCTAATACTCAACTGATAACAAGTTTTGTTTTTTTCTGAGTTGGAGTCTTGCTCTACCACCCAGGCTGGAGTGCAGTGTCACGCTCACGGCCACCACAGCCTTGATCTTCTGGGCTCAGATGATCCTTCTGCCTCAGTTTTCCAAGTAGCTGGAACTATAGGCACATACCACCATGCCTGGCTACTTTTTGATTTATTGCATAGTCGAGGTCTTGCCAAGTTGTCCAGGCTGGTCTCAAATCCCTGGACTCAGGCAATCCTCTTGCCTTGGCCTCCCAAAGTCCTGGGATTACAGGCTTGGGCCACTGTGCCTGGCCCTGATAAGAAGTTTTAATTTCTGGCCAGGCACAGTGGCTCATGCTTGTAATCCTTGCACTTCTGAAGATCCAGGCGGGAGAATTGCTTGAGGCCAGGAATTTGAGGCCAGCCTGAGCAACATAGTGAAACCTTATCTCCACAAAAAAATAAAAAAAACTAGCATCCATCTGTAGTCCTAGCTACTTAGGAGGCTGAGGTGGGAGAATTGCCCAAGCCCAGAAAGTCAGGCTGTGGCAAGGTGTGACTGCACCACTGCATTCCAGTTTAGGTGGCAGAGTAAGACGTCAACACAAACACACAAACACACACTCACACACAACCAAAGAAATCTGAAGTTTCTCCTCTACAAATACATTTCTCTATTTCGCTTCCAGAAAATATTATGGTGACATTTAGTATCTTCAGAATGTCATTAATTTGACCAGGCACTTTCCATCATTGCTGTTCTGGATGGAGGAGAAACTCAAAGCACTGGAACTTCCTTTGAAGAAAAGAAGAATCTTGTGCTAATTCTGCATTGCATACAGTGGAGTAAAAACAAGTGACTGGCTCACATGGAACTCCCCTGGGTGAAGGCAGAAGCAGAAATAGGGCCAGCAGCTTTTCTTGGCATCTGGAAGCTACTTGATAGCCTCAGAGGGTGAGGATGGGCTGACCTCAAGAGGCTTGATTTGTGATCATCTCCCAAAGCAGTTTTCCTTAAACAAAATGACTCTACTGGAACCCTCTTAAGTTTCTGTAAAGGGACAGAAAATGCTCCACTTTGGGGATATTGTAGACAGCAGACTAAGAACATAAGTATTTAGTCAGGGACCTGAGAGCAGCTGGTCCAGGCCTGACAGACAAGTGTGAAATCTTGTATGGACTTCTCCCTGAGAGGAGGACATAGTTCTGGCTACATCATTTGGTACAATATGATCTGGGGAAAGACACTCATTTGGAAAGTTGTTAAGATAATCTGTTTTTCTACTCTGGAGCCTTTCAAAACTTTTCAAGAAACTATGGCACTGTCGTTAAGAGTTTAGACTTGAGCCGGCCTCGGTGGCTCAGCCTGTAATCTTGCGCTTTGGGAGGCTGAGGTGAGTGGATTGTCTGAGCCTGTGGGTTCGAGACCCGCCTGGGCAACTTGGCGAGACCTCATCTCTACATAAAATCAAAAATTAGCCGGGTGTGGTAGCGTGCGCCTGTAGTTCCAGCTACTTGGAAGGCTGAGGCGGAAGGATCGCCGGAGCCCAGCAGGTCGAGGCTGTGGTGGCCGAGAACGTGTCACTGCACTCCAGTCTGGGCGACGGAGCAAGACTCTAACTAAAAAAAAAAAGAGTTTAGACTTGGAGCTGAACTGCCTGAGTTCAGCTTCTAGTTCCATCACGCACTAGCTGTGTGACTTCGGGCAACATATTCAACCTCTCTGAACTTTGATCTTCTCATCTATAAAATTGGCACAATTATAGCACACACCTCATAGGGTTGTTGTATAATTGTTAACTAGTTAAAATACGGTCAAGCATTTAGAGCAGTTCTTGTCATATAGTGAACATTATATAAAAGCTACTTATTGTTGGCTAATCACTTCCTCTTCTGTTTCCACAGACAGCACTGTCTATTCCCCACTGAAGCACATGCCACACTGCTTTAGAGAAGTCACCCCAGTGAAGTGGAAAGAGAAAGGCTTTAGATTCACATCTGTTTAAAGTCCCAGCTCTGCAGCTTGTCAGCTGAGATTTGAACTCCATACTGAAATTCAAATTACACAGCCTCTCTAAGCCTCTAAGTTCCCTCATTCATAAAATAGAGACAATATTTATTTACCTTGTTGGGCTAGGAGAACTAAAAAACAACCTCTGACTGGGCATGGTGGCTTATGCCAGTAATGCCAGCACTTTGGGAGGTGGAGATGAGAGGATTGTCTGAGCCCATGGGTTCAAAACCAGCCCAGGCCACTTGGTGAGAACTCTTCTCTATAATACATCGAACAAAAAAATTAGTTGGGTGTGGTGGCGCACACCTACAGTTCCAGTTACTTGGAAGGCTAAGGAAGGGATCACCTGAGCCCAGCAGGTAGAGGCTGCAGTAGCCGTGAGCATGCCAAAGCTCTCCAGTCTGGGCAACAGAGTGAGACTCCAACTCAGGATAAAAACAAAAAAATAAAAAAACTAACTCTTGTGAAAGCACCCAACCAGTGCTCTAGCAGCGTGCATGTAATGAGCCTTACAAGATGAAGTGGATTGGAATGCAGACTAGTGGGAAGGGGTTTCTGTCAATTTGGGAGAAGGGGCTTTACCTTTCTGTCCTGGGATTCTCTTGCTCGCTTTGGACCCTGATGATTTCTTCCATTTATTACATCTCCTCTGACTTCAAAATCATGCTGTAAGAAACCAAACCAAAACCATCAGGATCTGAGAAAGAGAGGCCTCCTTCAATGGAAGTGGAACACCTACATCATATTTAAAGGATTCAGAATTGTCAGGCAGAGCTTTACCCAAAAATAAATAAGCAAATCAAATAATTGTTTTTGGTGGGCTGGGTGAAATCACCAGGATCTCAGCTGTTGAAATCAATTCACTGAAGCAAATCTTTGTGTGTAGAAATTAACAATTGGCTTTTCACCTCACTGGGACTTAATGTATTTTAATTTTCAACATCTATCTCCTCTCAAAACATTCACTTAGCATTTAGATTAAACTGTTAATACTGTGCTGTTATAAAGATAACTGAAGAATTCCTGATCTCCTAAATCAACTGTATATTACCATCTAATGAAATAAGGGCTTTTCAGATTTACACTAAGATATTTACACACTTAATGAAGCCAAAATGATACAACATACACTGAAGAAGGGTCATGGTTTTTGATACTCACTATTTTGATTGTTCAAAAACGAGAGAATAAAGAATAATGGGACCGAGGAGGTTAGAGTTTTGGGCAGAAGTTTGAGGAAGAATGGTTAGAAACAATTCGGACTAGCCAGGCTCGGTGGCTCAGCCTGTAATCTTGCGCCTTTGGGAGGCTGAGGTGAGTGAATTGCCTGAGTCTGCGGGTTCGAGACCTGCCTGGGCAACTTGGCGAGACCTCATCTCCACAATAAATCAAAATGAGCCGGGCGTGGTAGCGCGCGCCTGGAGTTCCAGCTACTTGGAAGGCTGAGGCGGAAGGATCGCCAGAGCCCAGCAGGTTGAGGCTGCGGTGGCTGGGAGCTTGCCACTGCATTCCGGTCTGGGTGACAGAGTGAGACTCTAACTCAAAAAAAAAAGAAACAATTCGGACTGAAACTCACATTGTAGGGAAGACCATACGTATTGCAAGAGTATTCTGAAGAAAAACAAAGGCAAGAGTATAACCACAGGCTATGACTAGGGGAAGAACACAACATTTTTTAGTCTCTTGAACAAGAGTCTAGTGATAAATTTACCATTTATTTGAAGATGACTCCCATATTTATAGTCCTGATGATACCCCTGAGCTTCATGCATTGTATACAGCTGCTTTCTTAAACTCTATCCAGATGTCTAGTATAAATCTCAAAATTCAAGCACCTAGGCTGGGTATGGTGGCTCATGCCTGTAATCCCAGCACTTTGAGAGGCCAAGGGGGGAGGACAGCTTGAGTCCAGGATTTCAGAACCAGCCTGGGCAACATAGCAAGACCTCATCTCTAAAAAAAAAGTAAGTTAGTTGAGCGTGGCAGCAAATGCCTGTAGTCCCAGCTACATGGGAGACTAAGGCAGAAGAATCACCTAAGGTCAGAGGGTCAAGGCTATGGTAAACCGTGATTGTGCCACTGCATTCCATCCTGGGCAACAGAGTCCCCGACTAAAACTAAATAAAAAAGTCATGCATCTAAAACAGAGCTCCTAATTCCATTGCTGCCTCCTGAGCCATACTCTCAAACGCCCCCACCATGTGCTACTCTCCCAAGTCTTCCTTGTCTAATTTAATATAACTAACATGACCCTGTTGTAAGGCCAAAACCCGAGTCACACTTTTGCTTCCTCTTATTTTTTTTTTGAGTTGGAGTCTCCTCTGTCATCCAGACTGGAGTGCAGTGGCTGCTCCGGGCCACCGCAGCCTCCACCTGCTGGGCTCCGGCGGTCCTTCCACCTCATCCTTCCAAGTAGCTGGAATTACAGGTGCACACTACTACGCCCGGCTAATTTTTTGATTTTATTGTAGAGATGAGGTCTCGCCTGCCCAGGCAGGTCTCGAACCCGTGGGCTCAGGCAATCCACTCACCTCAGCCTCCCAAAGGCGCGGGATCACAGGCTGAGCCACCAAGCCCGGCTTTGCTTCCTCTCTTTACCATCAAGTCCTATCGGCAAACACATCCCAAACCAATCTTTTCTTTTCTTTCTTTCTTTCTTTCTTTTTTTTTTTTTTTACCATCTCCATGCTTCCAATTACCCTAAGAATAAAACTTGAATTTCTTACTATGGCTTACACCAGTGCCTTTGGTTACACTCTTCCCACTCCTTGTCTAATCTCTGCCCGCTAAACACAATTCACCAATTACTACTCTCCAGCTATACTGGCCTATTTTTCTTTAATTAACTAAGTTCATTACTACCTCAAGACCTTTATGTGTGCTGTTCCTCTTCCTATAACATTCATTTTCTTTTCTTTTTTTGAGTTGGAGTCTCACTCTGTCGCCCAGACTGGAGTGCAGTGGCCGCTCCCGGCCACTGCAGCCTTGACCTGCTGGGCTCCGGCGATCCTTCCACCTCAGCCTTCCAAGTAGCTGGAACTACAGGCGTGCGCTACCATGCCCGGCTGATT